AAGAGCAGAGGCTGAGCCTCCTGCTGCCCACTCCTCTGACTCCCTGGAGGAAATCAGGTTCAAGTTCGCCAACCTGCCCCATGCCTCGATGCATCTCCTGCTTGGCAGTACAGGGTTTCCTCTATTTCCGGTCTTGTGGTCAGAAGGAAGAGGCCACTGGAGCTGCCCGCAGAAAGCAGGGCTGTGCTCAGCGGGAGCCTGCTCTGCCTTTAGTCCAAGTGTCCTCTCCTCCCGTCCTTCTGTTTCAGGTGTCAAGTGTGCTGCAGAGAGAGCCAGCCCAGTCCAGGCAGCGAGGGAGCGAGAGCATAAATCACAAAGAAAGGATTTCAATTGCTCTGCCTAGAAGGTGGACCCAGCGTTCCTCACTTGCCTCCAGGCTACCCAGGACTTCCACTCCCATCCCTCCTCTGGAAGTGGCCCCTTGGGCTCTTGGCAGTATTCTCTACCTCCAGAATCAGCAGCACGGAAATGGTGAGTTCTCCATACAGCTGGGCTCTCCTAAGGATAAGCGAGCGGGGCTGTGTGTTGTGTTTGGGGATTGTGGGTCTTCGATGAAGAAGGTCTCAGAGATCAAGTGACCAAGCCCTAGGAGACCTTCCTGCCTCGGGGCCTTGCCTCTACACCTGTGTGGCTTTCAAAACGTTGACTCCCTAGGCCCCTCTTCCTCATGTGACTCTCAGAGCTGGCGCTGTGCTGCGTTGGCACCCCCTAGCCGGGGCCTCGGGGCTCTGTAAGGAATGACAGGTGGCTGACCAGAGCCGGAAGACAGAGCAGGCTTCTTCAAGGATGGATTCGAGCAGTGGTTCCCAACCTTCCTAATGCCGCAGCCCTTTGATACAGTTCCTCATGTACTGGTGACCCCCCCAACTATAAAATTATTTTCGTTGCTACTTAATCACTGTCATTTTGCTACTGTGATGGGTCTCAAGACCCGCTGGGTTAGCGAAATGGCAACACCGCCTTCGGGCGCATAGACCTAGATGGCGCTTGTGTTGAGAAAGAAGTGCTGCAC